CTTTGTCTCCTTTTTAAGCTTCTAATACCTTCAATTTAACTGAACAAAGCCCAAAAACTCCTATGGATAATCTAAAATGGATGGATATTGTTTTCCGAGTTCAATGTCATGGCCCATGGAATTCTGGAATTCTCCAAATTGATATCAGCACCGGCCAAATTACCACCTTTCATACCTTTAGCAAGGAACTACGAAATTTTATGAATTACGACAAAACAGCTCGCAAAGCAACATCAAAGCTTTGTAAAACTGAAAACTACAAGATATTGTGGTGTGCTAATAAATGCAAATAATCCAAAATTCTTAGAAATCGATTTGAAAACTTCACTTATTAAAGGAACCCAAAGCTAAAGAAACTATGGATTCTATTTTTTTCTCTTATTATAATGTGTAAAAAAGATAAGAAACAAAATGGGGTTGTAAATATTTTGATTAATTGATCAAATGATTGATGGTGATTTTAGATCAATAAAATTATTTGCAACCCTATTTTGGCCCTAATCTTTCACGCTAAGCAAACTATTTTGTCATCAGTGTCTTTTTTCAAACTAAAACAGTGACAAAGGCAAATAAGAAAGCATATAGAAGAATTATTTGTTGCTGAACTGAAGAAACTATAACATAAAGATAGAAAAATTATATCTGAGTCACTTCAAACAGAAAAATATGAATCATACCCGATCTTCGCAGCTGGTGGTATAATGCAAACACCACTATTAATCTAGAAGAACTCCATATTTAAAGAATGAGTAAACGCTTGCAAGGTTTTCTTAAAAAATATTTTATACTTAAGTAAATGCAGAAAATTAAATATGTACTACAAAAAAGTATCTCTTTGAAATTTAGCATTTAAAATACAGAAAGGAAATCTATTTTGTATTTTACAATTGAAATAACAAATTAAAAAAGTATTTGCATCTTGTATTTAAATACTTTTAAAAACCCATTCTGCACATCTCTAGATATTTGGATCATTAAAACGAAGCGGTCAGAATTAACGATAACAACACGCCCAGCCTATTCATAGAAGTAGAAACTAATTATGCATGTAGAGCTAATGGTACTGTGACTTTTTCAAAATAAAGAGTTCAGTACTCATGGATATTTAATAGATTTTCAGAAGCCCAGCATCTGATGTTCTGTTTATCAACTGCTCCATGTAAATGAAAATGAACTTCATCTCTCATTACATGCTACAAACTTGAATTTTGTCTTTCAATTTATCTTTGTATTTTCATAGCAACATCCTCATGAGTTTCAAAATCTCTATCCTTTAAATGTCTAGTAGTTTATAGTTTATAGAAATGAAATTTTAAATCCATGCACCTGATTTTCCTAACTAGTCCCCGATTCATGTTCAACTTATGGACTTATGCACTCAAAAAGCATTCTAGACTGTTACCCTGTATTTTCAATGTATATAGCTGACTAAGGATGTCATCATTATCATCATAAGGTCGTCAGTCCTAAGACTGGTTGGACACGTACCTCCACTCTTTCCTATCCTGAGCTAAACTTCGCATTTCCTAAAACTAGAACAGCCCACATCCTTAACTATTTTCGAACAGTAATCTAATCTAGGTCTACCTCTACCCCCCTCCTAACTCCTGTTTCTGCCTCTAGTATGTCTCTGACTAGATCTTCATGCCTGAGAACGTGTCCTACCAACCTATCTCGCCTATTTCTTATTGGCTTCCATAGAGTCCTCTGTTTTCCTATTCTTTCCAATACCTCTTCATTTCTAACCTTTTCTACCCACGTTATCCTCATCATCCGCCCATAACACCACATTTCGAACCTTTTCTTTTTCGCGCCCACTGTCTATGTTTCGCACCCAAACAGTGCCGTGCATACAACATACATCTTTAACAACCTTTTTCGAATTTCTAAATTAACCGTTCGCGAGAATAGAAGCCACTTCTTTTTATTGAAAACGACTCGACCCTGCGCTATCCTCTGCTGTATATCCCTACTACTCCTTCCATCCTGACTTATCTGACTCCCTAGGTATCTAAAATCAGCCACTTCTTCTAATTTTTCGTCTCCTGTCTTTATATTCGCCCTTTCCCTACTTTTTCTTTCCTTGCATACCAGTATTTTAGTTTTACTTTTGTACTGATCTGTCAGTACCGCTTCCATTTGATTTAAAGCTATCTAAGGATGTATTATTGTATATATGTATGTTTAAAAAAATACTTTCAAATTATACAGGTACAAGGTACAAGGTACATGTACATATTAGGCAATCGAAGTTTGGTGGTATCTTTGCGAGCCAACAGTGAACCCGATTTCAATTTCATTCACATTTCCACTGTTAATTAAATTGGTTGATAGTTGAAACCAGGCGAACGTTTTATTCGTGGTTCTTCCACCCAGCCAGCTTCGATCCACTTCCGAACTTTACACATATCTTTAAATGCACATATTCACGCAAAACATATAACATCGGCATACAACTAATTAAGTAATGTAAATGTTTTGATGGTTTCTAAAAATACTAAATTTTGGCTATTGTTTCATGAAGACTCGTTACACATTATTCAAAAGACCAATGGAATACATAATAGGAAAGGATTGACAAAACAAGTCTATTTTTTCTGGAGATTTGGTAGTAATAAATCGAAACAATAAGTAAAAAAGATACAGTTTGCGTCACAAAAAGTTATTTACAAATCTAAGGATTACGAAATATCTTAATTTCAAATCGAAACTAAAAAATGTAGTTATTGGCTTTTTTGAGAACATTACGACGTGAAATAAGTTCAAAACAACCAAGACAATAGTATCTTTTGTTGTTGAGTTCAAATCTGTCAGCAAAATTACCTTATCACGTCAGAGTTACAAGATATGTTAACTTTAAATCAAAACTAAACACATGCAGTTATTGGCCTTCTTAAGATCAATACNAATACATAATAGGAAAGGATTGACAAAACAAGTCTATTTTTTCTGGAGATTTGGTAGTAATAAATCGAAACAATAGGTAAAGAAGATACAGTTTGCGTCACGAACAGTTATTTACAAATCTAAACGATATACGCAAATGTAAAAAATTGCAAATGGTGACAACTAAAGAAACAACGCGATCTGACGCAAATCCTGTGAAATCCAAATCCACAAAGCTTAATACCTTAATTTCAAATTAAAACTAAAAAATGCAGTTATTGGCTTTTTTGAAAGCATTATCACGTGGAATAAGTTCAAATACAACCAAGACAATAGTATCTTTTGTTGTTGAGTTCAAATCTGTCAGCAAAATTACCTTATCACGTCAGAGTTAAAAGATATGTTTACTTTAAATCAAAACTAAACACATGCAGTTATTGGCCTTCTTAAGATCAATACCACATGAAATAAACTTGAAAACAACCTTCGCATTAGTAATTTCCGAAGTATGTTTTGTGGTTAAATTCGAATCTGATCTTAGAATTGCCCCAACAGGTTAAGATATATGAACTTCGGAATCCCAACGATGCTCATTTGGCTTTTTGGTTTTGACATTGAGCACCCACAGAAATTTAGTGCTAGAAGATTTCTGGGTTTAAATTCAGGCTTTCCTCCTTCAAAAAATGTAAAAGAACTACTCTTGTCATTTTATATCAAAATATTGATTGTCGCTATTATATTTTTACAAACTCTCTAGCATAACAAAACATTAAAATCCAAAATTCCACACGAAAACATCCGAAAAAGCTAAAACGCGTTTCGAAACTCCAAGTGTTATCCTCAGTTAGACATTGAGCATCAATTTGAGTCTTTATAGATTCTGTCATATCGGTCTCTAACTGGAGATAACACCAGTTGTGCTGAAATACGCTCTAAATTTTTGAAAAGGTTTTATGTGTTATTTTGGGTTTTAATGTTTTATTTGTTACATATTGAATTGTGTGATGTGTTTCGAACTCATCAACAATCACAATTCTGATAAGGGAAACATATGGAAATTGAATTAACTGTAAAAGTTATTGCAAAACAATATTGTGGTTATTGATATACCCATTAAATCAACTGAATTTGTAAATTTCGAAGCAAAACAGTGAGAGGGGTAAAATCTGATAACGATAATATTCGATCAATAAGTTGGAATTACCACTTTTTATCTCGGTCGTTATCAGCCTTATTAAATTGTAACTATTTTTCCATAAAAAGAGATAAAAACTATCCGAAATTTATTTGTTAGAACAAAAACTACTCTATTTAAGCAATACTTACCTTTTTTATTTTTATTTTTTTTTTGCTCAAAGTTAACCGGTGAAAACTGAGAATAATAATAATGTTGTAGCCATGAGAATTTTCTGAAAACTTTTTACAATATATAAAATACAAACAATTTGATATTTATGTAAATAAAAACTTTTTAAAAATTGTGAGCAATAAAAATCAATTACTGGAAAAGGTTCATATTGATAAAACTGTTGTTACAATTTCAGTCCACTGATAACGTCGTTTGTCATAATTTAGAAGAATTCAAAGTTATAAAAATCAATAAAGTGATTCTGTATGATGAGAAGAAAAGACTAAAAATAATTGAAATCACTTTAACAAATTAGCTATTTAGGAATGTAATTAAAATTCGAAATACGTACTAAGATTTTCACTGACACTTTACAGTTCGGTTTTTCACAAGGCAGAGAGAAAATCAATTTCGTGATTACGTTTGTACGGTTTTACAGCCTGTTGCATCAGTTAACTTCTTTACTATCTTACTTTAATTAAAATTCAGACGTTTTGTATTAAAAGAAAACTATTGCATGCTATTCTGAATTACTTCAGCTATATGCACTTAAAATCGACATTTTAAACAAGATTAAGAATATAAGCCAATTATACATTTTAAAATAGTGTGGCAGACAATAACTTTAAACAAGCAAGTAACGAATAGACTAAGAAAGAATTTTTCACCGTTTGTAGCATTGTCCTGGTTTGAGGTTATAAAATAATTTTTGGGAAAATCGTCACTCAACAATTGTTTTTTTTTTTTTTGAAGGGGATGCACTCACCATGGATAGCCGTTGGTCAGCCCAGCGGACGGCGGTGGTACGAAAACCGCCGAAAATCGCGAAACCGTATTAGACTGGGGGAAAACCCGACCGGGCCGATAAACAAAAAATCGTTTAGTTTCTATTTCGCGATGTAAAAATCTAGATTGCTTAGGACGGAGGACGGCTCGTGTTAGCCCTTAATGGCGGCATATTTTAGTAGGTCAGCGACAATCGATATGCGCACGCAAAACTCAATGCCCACCCCCGGTCGGCGTCGTGACGTCACGCGTGAACGGCGGCGCTCGCCAGACGCTTAAACTGAGACGCCGCCAACTAAATATATGTACATATAGGGTTGTTCTAAAAAGGGACCAAGGAGCCGGTCAAGATCTATTGTTATGTTATCGGGGGCTATCAATATACGGAAGTAATGAATGAGATGCGAATGATGATAGACAAAGAACAGAAGCGATAAATTTGATCCAAAAGGAGATTTTATCTAACACTTAAAAACGTTCTCAAAATGAAGTTGAAAATTGATCCTATAACATGAAACGAAATAACCGAAGGTTTTCATATAAGAAATTAACAGTAATCAAAAATATTATAGAATGATATAGTAATAGTCTTAAATATTATATTATAATCTTTACTAGTAAAGAAAAGTAGATAAAATGATTCAGTTGTTTTTGGTACTTACATATTAACCATAGCGTCTCTCCGTAATGTAACCTAATTTAGCTTAATGACTACATCAGTTATGATTGATGATTTTCAATTAAAAATTCTGATTGAATGACAACATTAGATATCGAAAATAACCCTTAGCCATAATTTTGTATTGGAGGAGACAGATTCACAAAATTACATCACAAACCTATTTGCATTTTAATTTTATCCATAATTATTTTAGAACATTATTATATAATCGATAATTAGAAGTATTAATCAATAATATCTTAATCACTAAGTATATATTAACAGGGTCAGACTCACCAATCATTTGTTGGGTCAAAACGCTGGTAACTTTTTGATAAATACCAATGCATTATCTTCAAGTAAATGCGTCGCCGCCATTTAAAAATATAAAACAAGGGACGAATTTCGTTCCCAGACTAAAATCAATGGTTGTTTTTAATGTTTAAAACCAGGTATTTAAACGTTGTCAAACTCTAATTTTAAATTAGGTACCTGTCTGATATAGCTAATTTATCCTTGCCGTCGATAACATATTTTCTTTTCCCTAAGTCTATTTGACGTTTTATAATGAAAATGAATACCTTTATTGATTTATTAATTAGTATATTTAGTATTTTTATTCTGAATACCGTTCAACTAAGTATTTAAGCGTTCTGTAAGTCTTATTTTCAATGGGCTACCTGTCCGGCCTACATATATGTATGCCATTACATATTTCGATTTATTTGACGTTTGTAATCGAAATGAATGAATACATTTTGCATTTGATGAAGTTTTTGTTAGTGCCAATGGAAAACGTTAGCCACATCAAGCTGATTAAGAGTGGTTTAATTTTTAGGGTTCCGTACATTCGATTGAAAAACGGAACCCTTATAGGATCTCTCGTGTGTCTGTCTGTCCATCTATTTTTATTCTGAATACCGTTCAACTAAGTATTTAAGCGTTCTGTAAGTCTTATTTTCAATGGGCTACCTGTCCGGCCTACATATATGTATGCCATTACATATTTCGATTTATTTGACGTTTGTAATCGAAATGAATGAATACATTTTGCATTTGATGAAGTTTTTGTTAGTGCCAATGGGAAACGTTAGCCAAATCAAGTTGATTAAGAGTGGTTTAATTTTTAGGGTTCCGTACGTTCGAATGAAAAACGGAACGCTTACAAGATCTCTCGTCTGTCCATCTGTCACAGTCAGTTTGCTCTCAATCTGCTGAACAGATTAAGTTGAAATTCAGTACACGTATCAATTTCTGTCACCGAAATACGGACGCATAACGTAAATAAATTAATTTTGANTAGACGGATTCGCACTGTCGAACGGCTTAAGTGTTTTGTCATTCTCATGTCTGTATATCGCATCGTGTCGGAACGAAGTGCGCTCCCATAACTGTAAGTATTATTAGTGTAAGTATTATATGTATACCTACTATTATCATTACCATTACAATGTGAATGTGGTGTCACTGTTACTTAATTCATGTCTCGGAATGATGATAACGTGAACATAAAAAATTAAGAATGTACGGTTGAGAGTTATTCATTGAATTCATGTCAATCAATAGCCACAGGTCTTAATATACTTGTATATATATTAGGTGTACCAATGGGGAATATATGTATTTGTACCCAAGGACTTGCAAATATTTCTCAAGGTCATTCGTTTTATCGAATTCTTCCATTCCGTTCGACCTATGAAGCTTTTCTTTCGAAATTAACACATTTTCGCTCAACTAGAAAATCGGTATATACAAAATGCAGCTTTTGTTACATTTGTAAAAACAAACCATATGTTTCGTCAAATTGCAAGGGCTCGTATTTGGCAATATCCTTCTGATAATTATCAGTATGGCGGAATAAAGCTTTTTCCAGAGTGGCGGTCAAATAATTACACAATTATATGTTTTTGTAACGTTTCGGTTTATTCAACCATCTTCAGACTGAAAAATTTTTGTAAATTTTAAAGTTACAAAAACATACAGTTATGTAATTATTTGACCGCCATCCTGGAGAAAACTACATAATTAGAAAAAATCCTAACAAGTTTCGATTACGTGACCATTTTCAAAGGAATACAAACACAATTTATGTATACTCGAATTTGGCCAACATAAATGGAGAGTGTGTATGAATCTTAACTTTAATTGGTTATTTACAAGATTTCGGCTACGCTAGAGAGCTTTTTTGATTTCTATGCTTTCTAAAAGACTTAAGTTTTTACTTTTGTTAACTACTACATTTTCTTCAACTAAATAGTGGTTAGACGAGGTACAAATGATCCAAGAAGGCGTTTTTTTATCTTTTTTAAATGTGTTCTTTTATTATATAGATCTCCTACTCTCCCTAATGTAGAGGACATCACAAGAATTGCACTTAATTCTATAAATCCCACTATTTGGGGTTTCATACGTCAGAATTAAAAACGGAACTCGTATAGGATCACTCGTGTATCTGTCCATCCGCCTGTCACAATCAATTTGCTCCGAATCTACTGAACCGATTAAGGTGAAATTTAGTACACGTATGAATCTCTTGTGTGTTCGAAACACGGATGCATAACGTTAATGAATTAATTTGAAAATCATTTTTAGGGGGCCAACAGGTAATTAAAAAAGAGTTTTGTAAACTGTGATGTATTTTTATGAAAATAGATGAAAATTGACCATCCCCCGTCCCCTTATCTTGGTAACTACTGAACCCCAAATTTTGAAAATAATACAGAAAATAGTTCTTTACTCATAGATTATACGAAAATTAATGAGAAGTCTATATTCTGAACATAACGTGGTAAATTTACATTTGCAGTTTGAATGTATGGTAGAACAGGTTTTTTTTTTCAACTACAATATTAAGATTAAGGTTCTCCTGTTAGGTTACGTCCTAATGAAAAACGAAACACTTATAGGATCACTCGTGTGTCTGTCGGTCCGTTTTTTATTAATTAGTGTATTTAGCGTACTACTAAGGCACTTTACATGAGTACCCTTCATATGATTCGATTTGAAATTAATTACACTTTTATTGAATTCACTTACCTTCTCTTTTAAAGGAAAAATAACCATTGATTTACAAACAGAATACACAAGAGTCTTTCGTCTTTTTCCACTGACTAAATAAGCTGTTTTTATTCGAATATTTGTTGAAAAAGTGCACTTGTCTTCAACACTATAACTTCTCATTTTAAATAATCTTCGAAGTTCACTATATCTACCAATAAACTACATGACTAAATAAAATACATTTCTCTGCAATTGTAAATGAAAGTTTTATCCAAAACCTAGCCACTGTATGATAAGATTATTTTAATTTAATATGTGCAATCCATGAAAATGACAAATATATTTATTAAAAGGTCTCATAATACAGTGACGGCTGATACATAAGGACACAGGGGCTCACATAATATCCGTAATTATATTTTCTTTTCGGTTAACTTACAGTTAGTATTATAAGAACATTCAAAGTAAGCTCAGTTTTTGCGAATTACTAAAAAATATCCAAATTTCGATTGCTTTTTGGGCATTTTGTGCAAATTATTTCATGGAACAACATGATACGTCCCACAGGCACCGGAAAATGTTCTTTCTGATGGATTTTGCAAAATTCAAATTGGACTTCGAATAACCGTTGTACGGCCCTGCAAAGTAAGCTTTGTTTTTGCGAATTACTAAAAAATATCCAAATTTCGATTGCTTTTTTGGTATTTTGTGCAAATTATTTCGTAGAACAACATGATACGTTCCAGCCACCGGAAAATGCTCTTTCTAACGGATTTTGCAAAATTCAAGTTGGGCGTCGAATAAGCGTTGTACGGCCCTGCAAAGTAAACTCTGTTTTTGCGAATTACCAAAATTTTGATTGCTTTTTCGGCATTTTGTGCTACTTGTTTAAATTAAATTTAAAATATAGTAGGAAAATCACCATTTTGCACATCTTTAATAAAATCGTTCATCAAATCGTCCATTAACACAAAACACAAAAAAATTGAAAACGATTTTGAAATTTTATTCCAACCAAACAATAAAAAATATTATTTCACAAAAAAAATACATTAAAAACAAAATAAAGATGACCTAATTACTTATAGCAAAAAATGACATTCTATTTTTCAGTTTAACTTCCTCCATTTAACTAACATTTAACATTATAGTTGCTCGTATGTTTGTATGTACAATATTTGCCGAAAATTTACTAGTCGAATTCAACCGAGAGAGGACTTTGGTTCTCAATTAACCCTAAGTTATTAGGGTTACCGCCGCCACCGCTAAAAATAGACCACCACGAGGCTTTTTTAGGCCTCTTCGTTTCATCAGCTTTAAATTGTTCCGTCTCGATGAGCCAGTCAGCGTATTTATTTATCAGACTGTGACACTGCTTGTCCAGAACATCTATCGAGGGTGCATTTCCTCCATACTCTCTTGGAAGAATTTCCTGAGGAATCCCTTCCGGTAACCTGCCTAAATAATAAAAAAATACAATTCTGTTTTACCTATTTTTGAGCTTTATTTCTACGACCATGACTACAAATTATTATGTCTAATTGGTGGTCTTCCATTCTATAGGGTTGTTCGGAAAGTCATTTCGTTTTTTCCCGACAGAGGATTTAATTGTATACTTTTGCACCCAACTTCACATTTAAGCCGTATAATTTTTATATGCTTTGAGAGCTCATATAGCAAGGCTTGTGTGTGAAAAATTCCAATT